GGGAATATTCAAAGTTGTGTTTTCAGAACATGTTATGTTTCTGTCTGTAGTACAGAGTTGGTGTTGCTGTACATTCTCTTGCAGGAGTGCCTAGGCTGGTTAGGTTGAAGGTCCTTCAGTGGGAAATATGTCACAAAGCTTGTGTAAATGTTTTCTGGTGCTGCAGACTTTTAAGCTCTATGTTTTCATGTTAATATCTCATTTTTCAAAGAGGCTTGGTCTGACCATGTACCAAACAGTTTGGTTTATACAGTGATTGTTGTGAAACACCTGACCTTGCCTGCTCTGAGAATCCACCCCTTGCCTTTGCAGCTACAGAGTAGTCTGATCCTTTGGGATGTTTTCCAGTGGGTGACTATAGCTTTCAAGAGCCAGTTACTTCAAGGTGCCAACTGTGCCTTCCAGCTTCACTCCTGGCATTTGAAAGGGCTGCATGGGATTATCAGCATTGTTTGGGGGTACTGTTTGACTTCTTAGTTAATGCTGTAGGCAAGATGTAATTGCTTGAGATTGCTGTCCTGGGTGACTTCTGTTGACAGATGATGCATCTTCCTTGGTAGCCAAGTCTTATTGCGTGCCTTTTTCCATGGAAAGGGGTTTTTGATTTGTACCTTATGGGAATCTTATGCTCATCCACTGGTAGAAGCCCATACGTATGCTGTTCAGTCTTCTTATGAGGGAAGTGGAGCTCCACATCTGTGCTGCTTCCTTTGTGATAAGGATCCATCTTGTCAGCTTTGCTGCAGCCAAGGATTACAGCTTACGTTCTGACCTTCTGTTACTGCTTGATAAGAGCATGTCAGCCGGTTTCCCACAAGAGCTTAACATGTTTCTAGGGTGTTAGTTATTGTAGTTGTTTTCGCTCTGGGGGTGAGGAAAATGGGGAGAGGGGATACAGCTGACTCCTGAGGCCTTTTGTCAAGAGTGTCTTCTGAACCTTCTTTTGAGGTCAAAATGGATGTGTTCCTAATTGAAATCTTGAGAGCGTGTGGGTGGTTGCCACAGCCTAATACATACTCAATACAGGGAAAATGGTATGCTCAAGGCCCAAAACTACTGAGTGCTAATCCTGGCATTTGTCTTTGCATCCTTTGCTGAGGGATGTGGTCATTCCTGAGAAGTCACTGAGGTAGGCAGAGAAGAGAGCTACAACAGAAAATCTATGCCAGTGCCTGAAATCTATACTGAAAAGTTGGGAGGTGTCCTGTGCTCTCACCAGAAGAGTACTTGCTTTTTCTGTACAATGAGGATCCACAATCATTTTTGCAAAACTTATCCCTTTGCGGTACCCAAGTGCAAGTGCAAAGAAATTGTTCGTGGACATGAGCGAAGAGATCCTTTTGGGCCTATGCAGACATGTGTCCGAGAGGACTTGCATAGCCCCAACCATTATTACAACACAGGCTGACAGTGGGTTAAGACCTGTCTAAACCTGACACTCTTCTGTAATTCTTAGTGGTAATCCTAATGGCATCGTTGTGTGTTTGGGAGCAGGTTGAGTGCTAGAGACACTGCACTGAGTCAAAAGGGCAGACCCTAAAGCAATGGTAAAGGTTGAAGCTGACATGTAAACCAAGTAGTTCAGTCACGCCAGTTTGGTTGCTTTGTATTTGAGAGTAAGAACATACAGTTTACCCTGCTTTCCTTTGGAGGAGTTTGTGAGCCCTGTTTGACGCCTCCCCAGGCTACCAAGATTTTGCCTGCAGGAACCTTATAGTTCTTCCCCTTTCTTTTTTGTTTTGTTTTGTGTTTTTTTTTCTTTTGTTTTTTTGGGGGGCAGGAGTTTAGGGAAGGAGCACACTGTAATCCCTTTGTCCTGCAAAGGTAGTTTTTACACAAATCCAAGTGTTGCTTGCTTTTAGTGCCAGTGCTGGTCAAGAGAAAGTTGTTATCTTGCTAGCGGTCTTGCTTTTTTTTCAGTTTCTTTCCAATAAGGCACTCTCTTGGTGAATGAGATGTGACCTCTGCCTTTTTACCATTCAAATCTACATGGTGGAAGGAGACTCCTAAAACTCTGTTTTGAAGAGGTAACGCCTCCTCCTTCATTGTACCCCATCTAAGTTGTAAATTCTAGTTCTCTCCCAGCTTTGAAGGAAATAATTTTTGGGGTGACGAGCAGGTTTCACCAGCACTGCTGTGAGACCAAGTGACTCTGGCATCGTGTGCAAGTGCCACTGTAGCAATGTCAGTGGTGAGTGTGGGAATCCAGTCTGAAAGAGCAACTCCCAAAGGAGCACATGTAGTGTAACAGGGATTTAAGGGTCCTGGGGAAAGGCAGCATTTGTTTACCTGTCTGAATTGTCAGAGATGAAAATGGTACCGTTAAAACAAGCATTTGCATGTGTAAACACTGCAAAATGGGCTGCTGCTCTTGAAATGGTTTTGTGTATCTGACGTATCTCATTGGATAGAGACTTGGGAAGAATCTCAGTTGGGTGTGTCCAAAAATGTGTTGCATCTTGGCCTCCGGCCTGGAAAATAGAGGATATTTGGATGCCCTTGACAATATCTGTTTTAACTTGCCTCCCTCCTGAAAAGTGAGCAGCTCTGTTTTGGCAAAAACCCCTCACCCTCCTAGTGGAAGCTTCTGCTCTGCCTGTGCCCACTGGCCCTCCTTGGCTTGTGGGGAGTGTTTTGGCGTTACAGATGCTCACCTCTGCTGCTGTTTGCCTTGGCCATGCTCCCATTGTTTGGGTCACGTTTGGCAGAGCTTCCACAGGCATAGGGAGGAAGAAAAGCCAGCTAGTGTCTGGGGCAGTAAATGGTTTTGGAGTTGCACAGTCTTGATTGCCTTGGTACCAGTGTGTTAGCATGTGCGTTAACATGTGCTGGTTTCCAGGAGCAGGAAGGAAGTTGTGCTCTCATGGATAGGTTTTGAGGTTTCTCCCCTTGTACTGCATCAGCTGAGCTAGCCACTGTGGTGTTCTTTTTGGCACGTTGGTGAGCCTCGCTCTACAAGGTCTTCTGCTTAGCATTAATGTAGCTTTTGTTCATTCAGCAAGAAGAGGGGATGTGTCATTACTCTATTGGTCCTCAGTAGTAGCATAAGGTTTGCATGCTGGGAAATAGGAATGCCATATGTAAAACTGAAACTTTTTTCCCTGCCCTTTTCTTTAGGATGCTATTAGAGATGTACATGTGAAAGGAGTGATGTACAAATGGATTGAAAAAGATCTGGGTGAGTTTAAACAGAGCTCTGGTGCCAAATCCATTTTGATGTGTCTTGTCCTATGTGGTGTTCTTTGTAAGATGACTGTGTAGGCCCTACACACAGTCACAGGAGTCAGGGGGACGCAGAACTTAATGAAATACTTGATTGTGGCATGCCTAAAGGCAGCTGAGGGGTAGAGTAGCACTAAGAACTGCGTGGTATTTAGGGTCAGATGGAAGATCTATTTTAATGGAGGAAACAGCTACCTCATTGCTTGTGTTTCTGTTTTCCTTCAGCTTGTAAGCGAGGGATGATGGTCCTTGGCATGATATGAATGTGCAAAGGCACCATCTGGGAAGGCTTCCTGGTCATTCAGGGGAAAGCAAGCTCCTGGTAGCAGCATGGCCTGGAGTGGCTGTGCCTGTCCCATGTGACACTATGGTATCAACCTTTTTTACTAACCTTTTCAGTTCCTCAGTCTTTCTCTTCCCTCTAGATAGGATTGATGAGGATGAGGAAGGCCATTCTGTCACCATGGTGTTTCACTACCTGCCTGTCTGGGATGGATCTAACTCAGGCCTTTTGCATCCCTGGTGGTATAGGGGTTAGGTTTGTTTCTGTTTTTAAAGAAATGTGGTTGTGATTTATGCCAAAATTTTTTGATTGATGATGTCTGTTTTATTCTGATATAGAACAGTATATTCTGCATGGGGATGAGATCTATGCTGTGCTAAACCGACTGGTGAACCACAAGAAGAAACTCTTCCTCATTACAAACAGTCCCTTTAGCTTTGTGTGAGTACTGTTATTGCACATTGACGGGTCACCACAGCGCAGCAAGAGCTGTGCAGTGCAGTCTCTCCTGTGAGCATTTGAAAGTTGTATGCTAGAGGTTTTTGCGGCAATAGTCATGAGAGTGCTGTCTGGGAACCGGTTGTGGTGAATGTTGCACCCCACAGTGCTCTCTACATCGACTCTCACTTTTTGAAGAAGGTGGAAGGCTGTGGCTGGCCCCAGTGTTACAGAACTGCCACTTTGGATTACCTCTAGCAGCTTTTTCTGCATCACAGACTTCTTTGGACTTCCCATGTTATAGGAGAAAGGGTAGGACAGCTTGAAACAGTCGAAGTGCTACATCAGTAATCCATGCAATGAAACAGCCTTGGGGGGCGGGGGGGTGTCACAAATCTCTAAGCTTTCTTCTCTGTTACTGAAATGAGAGTAAATTTAGGACAGACTGCTGTAAAGATGCAGTGTTGGGTGAAAAGGAGTACTGGATCTGTTAACTTTTCTGTTCCTTTGCCCTTAGGGATAAAGGAATGAAACACATGGTTGGCAAGAACTGGCGGGACTTATTCGACATGGTCATTGTGCAAGCTGACAAGCCCAACTTCTTCACGGATCGGCGGAAGTACGTGTCCCCAGGGCAATGCTGCATTGCTGCATGTAGGCCTTAGGTTTTGGGCCCCCTTCTCTGGAATAAACGGCTCCTTTTACCTTCCAAAAAAGTAGTGGTTTTCTAAGCATAATCTAGGTCCAGTAGGCATCGAGCCTTCCACTGTCCTCTCAGATACTCTCTGAGGAGATGAAAACTGACCAGTCTGGGAATAAGTGGATAGACTGGGTAGTGCCAAGCAGAAAGCATGTTTCTAAAATTGGCTGTCTTAAGTCTCATCAGTTTTGTCATGTTCTGGGCTTAACTTAGATTTTTAGGGGTAATAATGTACTTAAATGTTCAGAAAGAAAAGAGGAGTGGAATGGCATGTATGAGAGCTGGCCATTTCTTGGCCCTAGGTCTTGAGAGTGTGCCAAAATCTTTCCTTTTCCTGTTCCCCACAGCAAATATCTGTGTGGTTTGGTTTTTTGTTTTGTTTTGTTGGTTTTTTTTGGTTGTTGTTGTTTTTAGTTACTGGGTACATGCTGTTTGGTAATTGGCAGCTCTGGAAGCCTTTGTACGTGGCAGCTGGGTTTTGTGGTCAGTTAGGAGCTGCCAAGGGACTAGCTGATAGACAAGCTGCTGTCCTCGCTTTGCTCTTTGGATTATTTGCTTTGGGAACTTGCGTCTGCTTTGTTGCCTCAGCTTACGACTGACCAGGAATTAGTGCTCTTGAGGGAGAGGTCTATTCTTTCCTCTTTACGTATTTTCTTCCCCCATTTCCCAGGCCACTAGCATAAACAGGAGTAAACCTACGAAATGGCTTTATAAGCTGTGCTGACCTGTTAAAAGTTTTCTTCATGGGATGTAGGTGAAGTGTCTTACAAATGCAGCCTGGAGCTATGACGATCTGGCCCCCTAGGAGATAAAACCTTATCGCTGCACGGTGCCTAAGGTCCACTCGTAGTAGGCCAGTAGAGTGAAATGGCACATACATCCAAGGTGAGGGAAACCTCCTGATGGTGAGCTGTAGTGAATTGTGGAGTGTTTTATCTGAGGGAAAATGCAGGTGTGCACTGGAGATCACTTGTGGCTGAGAAGCCCCTTGCCTGGGTAGGATGTAGAGTTCATGGTGGGAGGCTGGATTCCTTCTGCCCTATGGCAGCTCAGGATCATACAATACTTCTGGATGAGATTGTGCTCTGCTTGCAGCAGGAGCAGCTTCATACCAAGGCTTTGATCCTGGAGCTCACAGTTTGGAACTTATACCCCAAGAGGGAGCAATGTTCCCCTCAAGCATGAATGTTAATGGGCGTCAAGTAACTTAAGCATTGTTTTGCTTCTTCTGTCCAAGTGGAAGGTAACCAAGCAAGCCCTTGGGAACAACAGGAGCCAGCTCCTGTCAGCTGCCGAGATCAGCATGGAGACTGATTTCCATCCACTCTGCAGACTGCTTTATCCTATTAAGACATTCCACGGTCTCTGGGCTGGGGCATAGCCAGACTGGAACAGGACACAAAGTGTTTCATGGCAAAGCCTTCTTGGTCTTAGCATTTCAGAGGGAGTCTTTATTGTTATTATTTTTTTCCTCTTCTCTGTATCTGAAAAGCAAGAAGAGTTGTTAGGGATATTGGCATGAAATGGTTACAGTCAATGGAAGCATTTTGAAAAGATATTTCCCTCTCGCACTTTCTCTTTCCCTGAGAAAATAGTGCAGAATGCCCAGAAGGTCGCTTCTCACGTAGAGATTTTATTATGTGTTGTTACATAGGTAAACAAGTTTTCCAATTCAGATGTTGTGGTTGCTGGGTAACAATCACCAAAAATCAAAAGAAGTTGACATCTGCCCCCTTTTTTTCCAGACCTTTTCGAAAACTGGATGATAAAGGCTCACTGCAGTGGGACAAAATAAACCAGCTGGAGAAAGGAAAGATCTACAAAGAGGTAAAGTGAATGGGTGCATAAGGGGTATGAAGCAAGAGGCTGAAATGGTGGGGACTTATAAGACAGCTGCAGTTTTGGAAGTCACTGGAAAAGCCTGGAAGTCACTGGAAAACAGGAAAATCTGCTTAGTCAGGATAGGGGAAAATGCTGGGTTCTTCTGTAGGTCATTTGTGGCTGTTTGATGTTTGAAAAGTGAAAAATGGAAGTCCTTGTAAAGAGCACCTGTGATACTTAGAGGGCATTTGTAAGAAGACATGCTCTAGGCTCTGTGTGCTGCGCTGGTTGGTGGTAGCAAGAGATGCCCTCTGTCCACATGCAGAGAGCCCTAGCTGGCCCAGTAGGACACTGTCCCCCTGAATGCTTTCAGCATGTCTCTTGGCATGCTGTGGAGCAATAGCCTTGTGATTTGCATGCCTCTGAAAAGTCTTTCAGCTTCCGCTGGGATGTAAGCATTAGAATAAAGGGTCTTTTCCTTTATCGGAAAGCCTTGCCAAGGCTTGTGTTGTCTGTCAGTGTGTGATAAACCAGCCTCTGAGAATGGTGATAAATACTTCGTGCCAGGTGTAGAAAAGGCTGCTCTCCTGGCAATCACAGCTTTTTACAGTTGCAGGAGGCAGAGCTGAAATAAAGTATAACAGAGCTGCCTGGCAGGAAAACTTTTTGTCTGCAGCTCTGAAACAGTTTTCTACCCAGCTCCATGTAGGTCATGCTGCAGAAGGGTGTGTAACAGGAGTGATGTATTCCACCCAGCTCAGCTGGGCTTGGCATTAGAGATGGACGGACAACAGGGACAAGGAGGGAAAAGGCAAAGCAGGGCCAGTTAACTTAGGGTGTTGGGTGCTTGCCTTTCTGCCCAGGAGAACCTGTGCTGAGTTATCTCTTCCAGGCTGAGTTTTTCCCTGCTGCTGCCCTGTTTGTGTGAGAAGGGGTAGCAGGGAAACATCCTCTGCATGTGTGGCAGAGGTCAGTGAATGCCCCCTGCCCTGGTACACAATGAAACCTTCACCCTAAGAGCTCAGTTCTGACATTGTCCAGTGTGGCCAATAGTGCAGTTTTCCCTTGGCTCTTCTGATGACCTGGTCCTGAAACTCTTGTTCTGGAGGGCCTCCCAAGAGTGTGGTAGTTCAGGGTAAGAAGGCAGAGCTCTCTGCAATCTGATGTGTAGGCAAAGATCTTCCACACCTCACTCCAAATTGTCTTCCATAAGGTTGGAAAAGGTGGACTTGTGGAGGAGGGAATAGAGAAACAAGGGTGATCAAATAGGGTACAAAGCCTCGCTCCCATCTCTCTACTCTTCCTGAAAGACAAGCATGTCCAAAGGATGGGCTGTTACTCTGGTGAGCTTGCTGCCTTGGGGTGTTCTCCTTGTAGCTGGTCTGTCCCCTGAGAACAAGTTGCCTCTGGCTTTGGGACGGTTTGTTCTTGGTTATATGAACTGTTCAATCCCACAGGAAGAAACTGTTAGTGAGATCGCAGTCAATTAGCTGGGACCTGACCTGTGGTAGAAAAGTAGGTCACGTCCCTGAGTAGTGCTGTTGGGAAGTCTCTGGCCTGTCTGGTGGGTCTGTCAAAGTGCTCTGCTAGCATCCTATCCTCTGCCAAGAGCTTGGAGCTGGGAACATACAAGTAGAGCTCATACAAAGTCTCTCTCACACGGGCAAACTTTCCCAGTGGGTTAGCAGCTCCCTTAGGAGAAAAGATGCACCTCAGCCATGGGGTTTATTGCTGAATTAAATCCTGCTCTTGACCACCTACATCTTGTGGCGACAGGTTGCTCACCCAAGTGAATGGTGCATTGAGGAAGGGAAAAGCTGAGGGAAGAAGGAGGGATGGGTAGGATTTTGGGCTCCTCTCCAGTTCTTCCCCACCACAATGTTCATCCAACTGCATCAAGGTTGTTGCCTAACCGTGGTTCTTGGGATGTGACAGAGTGTGTATCTTGGTTGTAGTCCATCCTGTCCCCAGCATTTCTGGTTTCTTGGAGTGCCACAATATGCTTCTTTCTGCCAAGTGTTAGTGACCGTGGACCTTGCTGTGCTGGTGATGTTGCTAGAGGCCTCTGTGCTGACCTGTTCCTCTCCCCTGAAGCACAGCTGTATGGTGCTGTGCTGTGGGCATCTCATACGAATGGCACCTCAGGGCTTGGTGTTTTGCACTGAGGACTGGGAAGGTCAAGTGATGGCCCTCTAGTCCCTCCTTTCTGATTGATGTGTTTTCTGTGTGGGGGACGTATGTACTCCCATCCCTCCCTAGTCTGTGATCTCAGGAGGGGAGGAGGACAGCCAGCTCCTGGAGGTCATTTAACAGGTCTGTGGTTCAGTGGAGGTCCAAGAGAAGGTCTCCTGGCTGTCGGACCCACTGCTGTTTGAGATGACTGGAGCACAGCAAAAGGACCATCCTCCTCCCAAGGCTGGGGTCCATTTCACTGCTCTGCCAGTAGCCTCGTGAGCAACTCTCAAGCGAGCAGCAGCAATGTTGTGTCCAAGAAATGCAGAGGCCTGCCTGGCCCTGTGTTTCCGCGCTGCTAAGGGAAGTCTGCACCGCTCCAGTGATGCTGCAGCAACAGGAGGCCCAGCATGCTGGTTCTGGGCACCCTTTGCAGTCCATATAGCGTGTTGCCAGCAGCCAAATGCAGGGCTGCAGGCTGTTGTGGGAGCTGGCTTATATTTGGGGGTTTTCTGTCCGGGCCAGTGCTGTTGGGTAGGCATGCTAGTTCTTTCCTGGCACTGGAGACTGGCTGGAGAGATTGCTGCCAAGTGGCTCACAAGTTTGCATTGACTGCTTGTGCTGACACAGTCTAGTCTGCTGGTGCTGGTGGGGCCTTTTCCTTTCCTAGTGGGTTTTGTTTCCATTGTGACTCATGTGGAAGACTTGCGTGGAGATGGAAGGGGGGTCCCTGAAGTCTCCTCTGTGTGCAGACGGATGTTTGGAAAGCCTTGAAAGCTGCTCTGTGCGGTGCCTTAGCTGGTGCTTTGGGGTTTGGTTTGTTTTACTTAGCTGTGAATCTGCCCAAGCTGCCTGGCTTTTTGGCTTGGTTAAGCAATTCCTGTGAACGCGTGGGTGGTGTTAATCTTTTGGGTTGGGATGGTTGTCAGTGATGTGAGAACAGCCTCAAGTGCTCCTGACTCCAACAGCCTTGCATGATAGCACTCACTTCACCTCTGATGCACCTGGTGAGGTGAAATCATTATCACCTGAGCCCAACAACGTCTAAACCCAGAATACCTGGGGTTCTTTCTGTCCATCGCTCAAGCTTTTCTAATAATTTAGGTGTCTTTCACTTTTGGCTTCTAAACTGCCTCCTTTTGTTGCCTTTTTAGTCCATGTAGTCCTCTTGGCTTGCTGTGGTCTAGAGCACAGAACTTGCCCTGAATTGCCTATTGGGTTCGGAAGAGTTTCCACCTTTTTCTGTAGCTTAAGAAAAGCTGCAGCATGTACAGGAGGGTTGTCACATGGGAAGAAAGTGAAATAAGGTGAGGAAGGACGGAAACCTCTGGGTTTGGATGGTGGGGGAGCAAGCAGGTTGAAATCTCATGGGCGCTCACATCTGCATGCGGTAAGGTGGCACATCCAGTTGCGTTGACAGCGCTGTTGGGGTGGCTGCCCAGTACCATGCGGTGAGGATGGAGGCATTTGGCCTGTAACCATGTTTCTCTCTGTGCTCCTTTTACTTGCAGGGTAACCTCTTTGATTTTCTGAGGCTGACAGGCTGGCGTGGGTCCAAAGTGCTCTACTTCGGTGACCATCTGTACAGCGACCTTGCGGTAAGTGAAAAGGTCTCTACTCTCCAGTGAGGTGGGAGCAAGTCTGTGTGACTCTTGTGGTTGCAGCTGTGTTGGAGTATAAGGCAGGGCCCTGCTCCGAGTGCTCAGGTCTCCAGTATGCTGTACTGGGTGCTCTGCAGGCTGCAGCTTTCAGGGCACACATAGGACGCATAAGCATCCCCACTCTGCTGTCACGCAGAATCAAACAGTGGAAAAAGGGCTCCCAAAGTACTTTCTGCAGGTAAAGAACATGTGCTGGTCTGTGAACTTGAGAGCAGTTTGTGTGACTCCAATGTTTGTCACAGCTGCTGGCTGGGAGATGGGTATTACCATGGCATGGGCCATGGATGCCTGTCCCCTGAGAATCTATAATGGGAACAGACCGCTCTTCTAGGAAACAGGGTTGTGTTTTGCTTTCCATCTTTATGTTGAATTCTTGGTTGTTTTTTCACCCCGACCTCTAGGACCTCATGCTGCGTCACGGCTGGAGGACTGGAGCCATTGTTCCTGAACTGGAGACAGAGATTCGGATCATAAACACAGAGCAGTACATGCACTCCCTGACCTGGCAGCAGGCTTTGACGGGGCTGCTGGAGAGAATGCAGGTAAACAGCTCCTGTCTGAGAGGGGCAGGTAATATGCTGCCTTCTGAGTCTGCGCTTTGGGCTTAGCATGGGAATCAGGGGATGTACCATCTTGCCTGTGTTCTCAAAAATATCTCATCCTCTTGGTGCAGCAGACTTGTGGGTTTGTGAGTTACGGTGCAAACTGGGGGGAGCTGAGGTGCAGCCTACAGGATTGATGCAATGTGGTGCTTTCTGCTGTTGTCTTTGCAGATGTATCAAGATGCGGAGTCGAAGCAAGTGTTGCTGGAGTGGATGAAGGAACGTCAAGAGATCAGGTAAGCGCTGTGCCCCTCGCTCATGAGGTCTCTCAGGGGCTCCCAGGCCAGCACTGGTCTGTTTTGTAACCTGATGTGGGGACAGTGGTGCTGCAGCTGTTGGGCTGTGGTCCTCCCTGGTGTCCCATGTCTGGGTGGGATGCAGCAGTGCAGCCCTGCAGCTTGGGACGTTGGACAGGTTTGAAGGCAGGGTGGAAAAGGGGAGCTGGTGTCACCCTGTGCTGGTGGGGGGCTGATGGGCTGCCTGCTACTGCAGGTCCTGGCACTGCAGGTGGGTCCCTGCCCGTAACAGGTACGGTAACAAGGAAGAGTAAAAGCATGGTGAATATTCGTCACAGTCTCACTGTACAGAGGCTGGTCTGCATTGCAGCCTGAGTGGGAAGGTACTTGGGGTGATCCCTAAATGTGTTCTGGGAGTGGGGTGGCCCAGAGCCAAGGGATTGGAGGAGGAACCTGGGACCCTGGCCTCTTATCTAGAGCACCATCTCTTTCTTCTCAGGTCACTGACGAAGAACTTGTTCAACCCGCAGTTTGGAAGCATCTTCCGCACCTTCCACAACCCCACATACTTCTCTCGACGGCTGGTGCGGTTCTCTGATATTTACATGGCATCCATCAGCTGCCTGCTGAACTATGATGTGAATTTCACCTTCTACCCCCGGCGCACCCCTCTGCAGCATGAGGCTCCGCTCTGGATGGATCAGCTCTGCACAGGCTGCATGAAAACCCCCTTCCTGGAGGAGATGGTGCATATCCGGTGAAGGGCCAGGTACTCCGGGCAACAGCACACTGCGAGTCTGTACGTGGGGCCGGGATGCTCGGCCAGCAACACCTCTGTCTACCACTAAAGGGCGTTTGACACTTACGTATGTGTGTAGATGGTGTGTTTATTTTTTCCCTTCACTGGCTCCATCCCTTTCCCTGAGGTGCGTTGCAGGCTGGACAGAGGATGGGTGCTTGTTCTGGGCCATAAGTAAGTGAGCTGCAGGGAGTCCTCTGTAGGAGTAGGTGAGAAGGAGAGCTAGTGCTGGTGGTGGGAAGCTGCCGCTCCTTGCTCTGTGCCAGAAAAGTGGCTCAGAAATGAACTCCTGAGTCTCAGGTGCTCAGTGAGCACAACACAGACTCCCACATGAGGTGTTACAAGGCGTGTCAGGGCTGTAGCTTCCCCGGTATCCTTGGGTACTATGGCGTGAGTGATTCTGCAGGTAGACAGTGAGGGGACAGTGTTGCCAACGGGGCAGCCGGTGAAGCACATCAGTGAATGCATCACAAAGCATCATCAGCAGTGTTACCTACCCAGAATGGTACCAGCAGCCCTGAGCCCCATCCTGCTCCTTGACAGACTGGTCTGTCCAGCTGGTGACTCTTGTAGGTAACTGTCAGTTAAATGTGCAGGACGTGCAAGTCCTGTGAGAGCTGGGTGGCAGTAGGTCAGAAGGTCTAAACACAGGTGTTTAGTGACACGCCTGGTTTTTGAGTGAGCATAGTGCCATCCGCTGTCAGTATTTTTTGGCTTTGGTACCATGTAACATCACTATTTTGGCAATTGATGTGGTATGGTCTGTTGTGACTTGTGCAGGGACGTGCAGGGTTGTCAGCAGAGGTGCCGGCCTTCCACCTGTGTTCACTGAGATGTGGCCGAAGGTGTATGGAGGGGCTGGTGAGGATGCCCTGGGGCCATGTGAGCTTAAGTGCTGCTGGGTGTTGTGGGTCAGAAAGGGGAGCACAGCCATGCAAACCACTGTGGTGCCTCCTGAGAAGGAGGAGGAGGAAGAGGAAAGAGGTGACAGTAGCGATGCCAGAGCGTAGAGAACCGGGGACAAGGGTGATGGCCTGGAGGCCCAGACACGTCAGAGCTGCTTTTGGATGTGAGGGGCAGAAAGTAGATTCTTCACACAGCTCAGGGTCATGCTGTTCTTGGCCAGGCTTCTGACTGCCCTGAGGGACAGGCAGGGTGTTGGGGAGGGGTAAAGGGGCAGTCAGGTGGGATGGGGTTGTTGAGAGTTTGTGCCACCCTGATGCTGGCTGGCCCTGGGAAACAGGAGAAGGTCATGCCATCGGAAAGTTGGGTGTGTGGGAAGCCAATGGCTATGGGATGAAGAAGGGGTAAGAGGCATCTCGGAGGAATGTGTGATCTGTGAGGGCCCCAAAGCATGCGGGAGATAAGTAACGTGGCTGCTCCCATGGGAGACAGACATGCAGGGGCCGTCAGGGGATGGTTGAAGGCAGAGCTCTTGGTGCAGGCACTGGAGATGTTGGTTGCCTTGGTCCACCTCCTCCTCCTCTCACTGCTGCACTGTTTGCAGATGGCAACAAGGGTGACAGTGCCAGCTTGCTTGCAGGGCAGTGAGTGTTGAGGTGACAGGTAGGAGCGAGAGGGAACAGAGAATGGATGCACTTCTTGTGCTGGGTCTGGCAGCAAGCAGGCAAGGAAATGGGTGGTCAACTGCGTGATGGGTCTTTGGGATGCACAGTGTGCCTGCGTGGCAGGTAAGGGCTGTCGGTTTATGGGGGAGGCTGTGGGATTAGCACAGGGGCAGGCATGGGTTGCTTGTGGGCTGAGTGTTGTCAATGATGTGGAGAGCAGCCATGGGAGAGGAAGCAGGTCAGTGTGGGGGACCCTCTGCCAGGAAACTCCTCAGAGGAAGGTGCTGAAGTATAAGGTGTAAATGCCGGCAACCCTTAGTGAGATACACGCACACACAGGTCTCTCTCTCTTCTCCTGCATGTTCCTCCCCTGTGGTGCGCCAGGCTGGCCTGTCAGTCTGTCACTTGTGTCTCACTGCCTCATCTTTGTACTCCGTGCCAGCCTGTCGCAGACTTTCGGAACGCCTTGCTCTTGACTCAGTGGCCTGAACGATTGCTGTTAACGTAGCTGCTCTAATCAAATGGTTGTAGTGTGCGCACGTGGCATTTGACGTCTTTGTGCTGTGTGTAGCGTGAAGGCTCAATAAAAATCTGCAGCATGTGTAACTAACTGACTAACCAACGCACTCACCGCAGGGCTGGTGCTCGTCTCCGCTCCTTTGCCTGCCCTGGGGGTGCACCTCCGGGTGCACGACCAAGGAGGACCCTGGGGCGGGTGTCTGAGAGACCGGGGCCGGAGGTGTCCAGCGCGGAGCAGCTTGTGCCCCTTACGGCCGCAGTGCCAGGCGGGGGGGGGGGTGCCGGGACGGGAGGGGGGTGGAGCAAAAGGGTCGTTTGGGGAGGTTGGGAACTGATGTGACTCGTCCCTGACCGCGGCGGGGGGAGCGGGGGGACAACGTGTATCGGGGCAGAGGCGGTGGCGCTTGAGCGCTTTTATTTCTCCG